ATGAAGACATTCGATGTGATCCACTATACTGACTACTCTCACGTTTTGGTTATTTTTCTTTCTTGCATTCCTTTATTATTGGTTGCCAGGGAAACTTTTTTAAAAAATTCAAGACATCTATCTATGTGTAGGTAACTAGTACATGTGATTGTAGTTTTTTCCTAGTGTTTCCATGTAGTATTAAGACGTCACGTGAAATTTTGCTTATACACGTGGTATGTTCACAGAGAGCTGAGCTTTGGAAATTTGAAGCATTTTGAAACTTCTACTTTAAGAAAAAAACAACAACAACAACAAAACGATGCCCCCTCCCCCTTTTCTCCCGTTAATGAACCAACAGAGCATTTCCTCACTTAAACAAGAAAAATAAATTCCCACTCTCAGCGAAAACTTAAAAATCCTGGATTGTAAACGAGGAAATGTCGAACAGGAAAGTGGCACTAAAAGCTTCAACATTTAAATGGTGCATAATATCTGTTGCCTTTGAACGTTGGTTTAAACTTTTTGCTGCTATATTTTTACTTATTTTTTGTGTTTTCCATTCCTATATTTTTACCTCATGTTCGAGGACAGCACAGTTTATGCTCTCATTGACTTGAGTATAAAACACTGATATATTAAGAGATGTTTCTTCTTTCATTTTATACGTTTGCATAATATAAGATGAAAACCGCTTACAGCTTAGAGTTATACTTCGGATTTTGAGCATATCGTCGAGTACCATATCCGCTAAACCCTTAACATGGGTTTTGAAGATGTTTTAATGTAAAATTGCATATCTTTACTCATGCGAGACCAAAGGTGTTGGGAAAGGGGATAAAAGCGGCCCTTCCTCCATTTTCTTCAAGTTGTTCTTGAGAAGCCGTGGGTTTTTGCCCCATCCAGGAGCACTTAAGTCTTGTGAGACGTTTGCCCTAGAAGCCAGAGAAAGCCCAGAGCTGTGATAATCTGCTGTGTGCAACTGTGCAGTCGTCGCGCTTAGGGGTGAGACGGCAGGGGGAGATAATACTGTGTGCCGTAATCTCGTCACTGCGACGAAACGGAGGCTCGTGTCTGACCCTGACGTCATTGGAGACATGCATCACGTAATCTTAGAACACAATCAGGGCACAGAGAGTTCACTGCGGGTTCTGAGCTAGCTTGGGCAGCATTCAACCC